AGAATAGAATAGAATAGAATAGAATAGAATAGAATAGAATAGAATAGAATAGAATACTTTGTTGTCATTTCACTATACACTACACACCGTGCTTAATAAAATGAAATTCATCGCAATTGACTCACAATTTCGATCAGACACTAAATACAATTTAAAATACTATACAATGTACATTTTTACCATCTGGCAGCAGATTACAGTCTGCATTTCTATAAAAACAAAACAAAACAAAACAGAAAACATTTAGCGAGCATTCAAAAGTCTAATAGCCCGGGAAACAAAACTGTTACTCAATCTGGCTGTCCTACATCGAATACAGTGGAACCTCTTCCCAGAGGGTAACAAAGAAAACAGGCCATGATGAGGATGGGAGGCATCACTGATGATCTTTTGAGCTCTAGACAGGCAGCACGCATATGCTAGATCTTGGATGGGAGTCAAGGAGATCCCATTTATCTTTTCTGCTGCCCTTACTACCCTCTGCACAGACTTTCTATCCAAGGCACTACAGCCCCCAAACCAGATAGAAATACAATTTGTAAGTATGCTCTCTATGGTGCCTCTATAGAAAGTAAGGAGAATGCGGGATGGAAGATGTACTTTCTTCATCCGGCACAGAAAATACAATTGTTGCTGTGCTCATTTTACCAGGAATGCGGTGTTGAGGGACCAGGTCAGACTGTTTGTTAGCTGCACCCCTAGAAATCTAACACTGCTGACTGACTCCACAGCTATGTCATTTAAGAAAAATGGAGTGTGACTACACCAGTTCTTCCTAAAATCTATAATAATCTCCTTTGTTTTTTCTACATTTAGAACCAGGCTGTTTTTATAGCACTGCTCCACCAAGCCCTTCACCTCCTCCCAATAAGCCCACTCATTGTCATCCCTGATAAGACCCACCACCATTGTATCATCCGCATATTTCGCAATGGAATTGGGGGTAAACCTAGCACAACAGTCATGGGTCATCAGGGTAAACAACAATGGGCTCAGAACAGAGCCCTGTGGGGAGCCAATGCTCAGAGAGATAGAGCTAGAGATATTATTTCCTGCTCCCACACCTGAGACCTCTCAGTAAGGAAGTCAAGTAACCAATTACACACAGGAGTACTGAAGCCAAGAGAACCCAATTTGTCCACCAAATGCACCTCTCAGTAAGGAAGTCAAGTAACCAATTACACACAGGAGTACTGAAGCCAAGAGAACCCAATTTGTCCACCAAATGCACCTCTCAGTAAGGAAGTCAAGTAACCAATTACACACAGGAGTACTGAAGCCAAGAGAACCCAATTTGTCCACCAAATGCTGGGGAACAATTGTATTGAATGCTGAGCCGAAATCTACAAACAGTAATCGCACATAACTCTTCTTCTCCGCAAGATGTACCAGACTTGTGTGAAGAACAGAGGAGATTGCATCCTCCACAGAGCGATTCTGCTGAAAAGCAAACTGAAGTGGATCAAACAAAGGACGGAGTCTGGAAACAATGTAGTCCTTCATCAGCCTCTCAAGACATTTCATCACAATGGGAGTAAGTGCTATCAGGCAATAATCATTTAGACCCATAATCGTAGATTTTTTAGGTACAGGTATAATAGTCGGAGTCTTAAAGCCTACCGGGACCATGGCTTGCTGCAAAGACATATTAATTATATCTGTAAAAACACCACCCAGCTGCTCAGCACAGTCCCTCGGTACCCACCCTGGAATATTATCTGGGCCCATTGCTTTCTGAATATTAATTTTTCTCAGGGTTCTCCAAACATCAGCTATATCAAAGGTAGGTGCCAGCTCGTCAGGCTATGATACAGCCTTCCTCACAGGAATATTGTTAAGTGCTTCAAACCTACCAAAGAACCTATTTAATTCATTAAGAAAATCTATATTCTCCTCACATGATGTCAGGGTAGCCTTATAATCTGTGTAATAGTCTGGATACCCTGCCACATACGCCTGGTATTTGTAGGGTCATGAAAAAGTTTCTGAACTTTCTGACCATAAGCCTGCTTTGCTGTTCTTATAGCCTGGTTCAGATCCGCTCTGGCTATTCTAAGAGCACCCATATCACCAGACTTAAAAGAGGCATTTCTCACTTTTAGCTTCACATGTACTTAACTGTATATGATTCCGTTAATAGAATCATGGCTTTGAAACAAAACACAGTGTTTGCCTCAAATGTTTTAGTGACTTTTCTTTCCTTTTTTTCTTCCCTACACAATTTTCAAGACTCGTTTATTCTATTTTATGCTTTTTAAATCCTTCTTAATAGCCATATAAATTAGAATGTACTGTATGCTGTTGGTGAATAGTTGCACTCTTGTTCAGAATTCTCCATCAGAAATCCTCAGGCAACCTGATGTCCTTCAGATATATCTTGAACCAGAGTTGTGACAGTCTCTTACCATTGGCCAGGCTGGGTAGGACTGATGGGAGTCAGATATTCAGTTTCCCTAACTACTGCTGTGAGATCTGACTTACCCAGCTTTCAGCATTTTCACTTTGCTTTGCAATAGGAATTGCATACAGCCAGTCTCACTAATAAATGTTTTTAATCATAGTCATTTAAATATGTGGTTTGTGAGCTTTTCACTTTGAAGAATTACTTTCTACATCTACTTGTCAGCCAAAGCTCTCTTTAGACACTACTTTTTTATGCCAGCTGGCTCCACTCACAATCTCAAAATCCTTCAATTCATGTCCAACAGAATTTATTGGATCCACTGAAGCCAAGGGGTGGAGCCAACTGTCATGGTGACAATGAAAGAGGCCAGCCAATGGTCCCCAGCTTCACTAAATAAAGATGATGAAGATCATTTCTGAAGAATTCTTTAGCATTGGCATAGGCTTCTGAAGATAAAATAATGTTCTAATAACTCTGTACCTATGGGACATTCTGTCAGTACAAGTTGGATCTAATGTTATGCCTAAAATGAGAGTGCATTCCCAAACATTCCTAACTGATCTTTTCTGCTTAGCAGTGCAGAGCAAGGCACTGGGTGATATTCTAGGTCTCATCCTTGAATCCATTATCTAGTCATGCTTCACCACAACATTTAAGGCTAGAGATAAAAGTGACAATTACTAGTGATGGGCAAGTTAGCTAGCCTACACTTTCTGATAATTTTGAGGAACACTTATAAGATTTCTTGAAGCCCAGCTTATCAACTCCCTATAGCCCAGGAACTCAAGTGGGAGTTCCCCCCCCCCACAGGAATTGTTCTTAGGAACACTTTAACTTTCACTTCACACTTTTGTATTAATTCATTAACTGTTTCAGTGTGCAAGGAATGAAGTTTGTTCCCAGGCTCACGAGAAGTACTATGTTAAACATGTTTTAGCTGCGGCCACCTCCTATGATCTTGAAGAGAGCAGCAAAATATCCCTTGACTCAGAAAGTGGGAAGGCAAAGGCTGGAAATCATACATGTGTGTGCATGCACGCACGGACACACACACACACACACACACACACACACACAGAGGCTTGACTGCTGTGAACTGCACTAGGCAGATCTTCTGTTGTATATGGTTTCATTCTTTCTGCAAAGGTCACTAATCTAGCTATGTGAGCCTTCTGCAAAGTAAGCCAAGGATATAAAGTTCAGAACCTGGAGAGCCTGGGCTTATGATCATGTCAGTTGTTAAGTCCAACATAATAGATTGTGGAAAGAATGGAAGGGACAGGAAGAGTAAGCTTTGTTTGGCTTACAGAGACAAGCAACTTAAGGCAATCATTTTGAAGCCATTACAGGTTTCATTCTGAATGCAGAAATGATGCTGGTTCCCATTACACTTATATACTTGTCAGAACAACCTACCTTCTGTAATAATTTAAATAGCAGGTAACATATGATAAGCATCACAAAAGTTTTATTAAAACCAATAATAGAGAATTCTGGTATAGGGAAAAATGGTAAGTCATTTATTTAAAGGATGAGATGGAACAGTAACATTCCTGTCAGCTTCCAGAATAGCTAAAACAGTGCAATCTATTTTTATTATGAAGAAAAATCACTGCAGTAATGATACCAAAGCTCCTCACAAACATAAGCTAACAGTTTATTGCAGAAATTAAATTATAGTTGCAATATAACTTTCTCTTCTAAAGAAAAGAAAATACATTCTTTGGGACATAATATTCTCTAATCAGATCAAGATCAGTATTTTGATTTCACTGAATTTATATTAAGGTGAAGTTAATTAATTAATTTTTTAAAATTAATATAGTTTTTTCCAGGGCATTTATATCACTTGGGCAAGTCTTGAAATTTTTAAATTAAAACAATCCCATTAAAAAAGTCTGGAGGGAGATACTGCCCTTTCACAAATAGCTGTCATAGGGAACATAACCTATGTAATGTTACAAAACAGCAAGTTACCAGAGTAGTAGCTGCCATACCTTCTAGCTATGCTTCCTACAGGAATCAATTTTCTGGCAGGTGAGTACACCTTCTTCCCCTAACTCATGGCATACCAACTTCCCTTGCACATGCACTTACACATGTGTGTGTATGCACACATGCGCGCACACACACACACACATGAAATCAGATAGGGCATGGAGAAGATCAAGTGAAGGATGATGTTGTTGACAAGGAATGAAGTATTCCACAATCTGATGTGATCAATGAGAATACTCTCCCTCTTCCTCTTATCCACCATGCTACCTATGTAATACATCTTACAAAGCACAAGGAAGGAGTTATTTGGTATCCTGGGTATCCTAGATCCAAGCAGTTTAGATCCACAGTCACCAACATTTCAACCCCCCCTCCAAAACAAATACCCAAAGAGTAGCACCTGAGAAATCATTGCAATATTCGCAAGCACTTCCTACTGTTCCTACTGACAATAGATGGGAGTCCATTTTCTGGACTTCTGTAGTGGTATGTGGGAAAGACCTTGGGAGATAGAGCCTAGAGACGCTACCGAGGGAAAGGTCAGATAAGAGATAGCATAGCCCGCAGCCTGATAATGGGCAAGAGGCTCAGAAGAGATCGTCCCTAATTTCTTGGGGTGTAAAGGAGATGGGGAGAGATTTGTACTTTCAGACTTGCAAGATTCTGTTAATGTAGCCTTACAATAAAGTAGAA